TTTCTTTTGATTATAGCTCACAGAGCATAGGGAGTTATCGGTCCCTTTAAGAACTTATAATCTATTTTTGAATTAATGAGTAAGCACACCTTTGGGTTTTCTTTATTAAAAAAAAAAGGATAAATTTAAAAACAAAACAATAACAATAAATAATCTCAAACATGCCATTAATTATATCTACGATTTTTTCCTAATTAGGTAGGTTATGATAAATAATTAGTTTGATGTGGTTATATGTGTATTATTTCAATAACTTTACATAAGATCATTTTACAACATCATTATTAATAAATCAGACTTTCCCAATACATTTTATGACCTGCTGCAGCGATTTAAACACCTACTAATTTATTTGCAACAGTTTAAGCATTCGCTACATAAGCTTTTGCAACAGTTTCATGAGTGTTACTGTAGAAGGGCTTTAGTAACGCTTTTAGCAAAGGTTAAAGCTACTGTTAAATGACAGCACAGATTAAAAACATATAATACCAAAAATCCAAATTGTACTAAACTTTAAAAAAGATGCATGAAGATAATTCACTTTAAAACCAACTTCACAATCAACACCAACTCCAAGAATGAACTCTTCATTGGGTAAACTCCATGGTATAAGATAGCTCATCAACTCATTGCGAACAATACTTTGTGGTAACAAAACTTCAAATGAATCTTTTTGTTGGATGAAAAGGATGGAATATGAAAAAGCAAAAGCAATGCTAAAGTATTTACTTTCACTTAGATTGCTTCAAAAAGACTCCACATTAATTTCCAAAATTAGCAAATAAAAGAAGCTTTTGAAGGGGCATTCAACAAATACCTAGAATGAACTTTGCTAAGTTGAAGATCACATTAGTGACAGCATAAGATGGAGATACAATCAATATATCAGAAAAATAAAAGAATCCATAGGATCATTCAATTCCCTACTTTCATTTACAATTTCAGCTCCACTTGCCCATAGTGGTTGTATTACACGCAGCCGGTCAGTCTTTGGCCGGTGAAACCACTGAAGCCGGTGTTTGATCATTCCCTAAGTTGAAATCGCACAACTCCAGAGCATCAAGCTCATGGGCCATGGCAAAAGTAGATCTGCGAGAGTCACAATTCCAGCATGGATTTACAATTTGAACTCCCCAACTGATGCATTCATCCCTCCACGAGTAGAAATTGGATGTAAAACGAGACTGTCATGGCTGTGGACTTCACGAGCACGCGAATTGTGCGGGACTGGAAGAGACTAACACACATTTGATGTGGAGTTAGGTTTCAAAACCTCCTGTAGATCGACGAGAATTGGGTTGAGTTTGAAGCAAGCTAGAAATCAACATGATGGAACAAAAAATTTGCATCTTTGCTGCCCTTCCTATCGTTGGACAAACAATTCTGGAGCTTAATGATCAAGCCTTGGACTTGGGAGATGGATGCTGGATAAAGTCAAGTGGGAGTGGAGCTAGGGCACGGGAGGGAGAGGGGAGATAGCAGTAATTTTGAAATTGCATACAGTTGGTGCAGTTTGCAAATCGCCTCTCAAACAGCTGTAAAAAATTCTCCAAGTTTTTGATAATTTTTTAGTAGCGAAAAAAACTGCTGCCTATACCAATCTGTAACAGTGGTTTTAAAACGGGCACTAACAACTTCTACGAAAATCTCATAGTTTTTATAGAGATACTAGCAGATTATACAAAGCTTTAACATCATTATTATAATCATATTACATTTATAGGTGTTAGCTTTATGGAACTACGTTCTCCATTCATTATTAGGAGTATTGTTTAAAGTGTTAAATTGATTTCAATGTACTTCGTGGCAATGTTGTATTGTCAATTTTCCATGGTATTGCATTGTGCCATACTATTAAGTGGAGCAAATGATTATCTGGTAAAATATAAACCGCTATGATATTATAAAATGTTTTGGCAAAAATATCTATGAAGTAACATAAATCTATTAAATGAAAAAAACACAAAAATAATAAGCAAATAATAATGGAATATATAATTTTAAAACAATTAATAATAATGTATATATTTATGAATACAATTAAATTGTATAATAACTTGTATAGTACTAACAAGCCATTTTTTAAAATGTAGAAGAAATTTCAAGTCATCCATCCATCAACATCATCTAATAAAATTCTTGAATATAAAGTACATTATAGTAAATTTCTTTGGTAATATAAAAAAATTTAGATATACTTGTCTTTAAAAAATTGAACATTGTTTTGAATAAAATAATGCTTTTTACTTATCTATCGCATGATTGCTATTTATTAGGTTTTGTAAAACTAAAATTTTCCATGCAACAATTGGCTTAACTTTCATCCAATGTTTAGAAATTCATTATTTCGATTCTAATACATAATTATTTAATAAAACAATGTCAAATAAGACTAGCATAATGTTTTTCACATTACATTTATTCATGTTATATTGTTATCAATGCTCCACTTTTTTTTTAACTTTTTATTATTCCTTTTTAATCTTTACACCTTAATTTTATTATCATGTCGTATATCTTTTATCCTACTTCATCCATGCCCAAACTCCAATGCTTGTTACTCGCTCAATATCTCATGTAATTATTTATCAATTTACCCTCTTCCTAATTTTGTCGCATGTTCAACCTAGCATTGTCATTATATTACACTCAATTCAGCTATCAATAAAATTTGTATGGTCATGTCAAAGAAAAAAACAATAAATATAGCACTATGTTATCAGTGCTCTATTTTTTTTTCTTTTTAATCCATCCACATTAAATATATCAAAGTTTAATGTTAGGACATTATCTACCCTAATTCATCCATGCCCACGAACTTCAAATCTAATTTTCAACAAGTTCAATTCCAACACTTGTTACACCTTGTCTCTTATATAATTATTTCTCAATATATCCTTTTTTTTTTCGTATATTTGTCTAAACATTTCAACTATATTACATTAAACTTTTCAATAACTTATGCATGTCCATGCAAAAAAGAAAGTCTATATAGCCCAACACTCAAATCCATGATTCCATATGACCAGCAATCTCTCGCAAATCTATAAAATTTACTGTAAGACTTGAGAATATTATCTTACCACATAATATACTTAATCAAAAACTACATTTCAACTACCCAATGCCAAATCTATACGGACATCTACAAACTCATTTTTTGTATAATGAAATTGGAGAATACACTTAATAAAAAAATTTGAGATTATCAAAATAAATCTTGGTTTAACTCAATTTCAACTGATATCATAGAAAAGTACCCTTAAGCCTCATTTAAAGCTTTAGTCAAGTTCAAGCTTACAAAGGCTATTCTAAATATTGGCAATATTTAGTTGAGCTCACCCAGTTTATACGCCTAGTACCATGTTACAAGAAAGTGGCTTGAATTCTGCTAGACTAGTAAAGTAATGCTAGCAATATTCTGCAGACCTCGGCAAAATATCCAGAACTTCATGAAACCATAAGTGCTGATGCATGGGGTTAATTGCTTATGCTCCAAGCAAAAAAGATATTACACCAAACTTCCGACGACTTCTTCAAATTAATCTTCCAAATCTTACGCATTTAGCAATTTGTAGAGGACTAAGCATAAGATAGGGGTAATGTCATCAGTGCATTTGGCCCTGTTGGTTAGCCAAATCTACTTTTCTTTGCATTAAATAATAGACCAATTAGCAGAGAAGTTCGGCAGAATCCACAACTACCTCTAACGACTACTTCTACAAGTAATCATGTGCCAAATTATTATTACAATAAAAGTAGCAAGAAACACGTCTATAACATAATTAACAATTCCCAGAAGCCCAATCGTAGCAAAACCTTGAAAAGCATGATAGCTTGATAGGTCAATCCGAAAGCGACATAAACAGTACTTGCAAGTCATATCAACTTCAAATTTTTTTTAAAAAAAAAGTCCAATCAAGTTTGTGTATGTGTGGAGAAATTATTAGGTACGGAGTGCGGACGGGAGAACCGTCTGCACACTAGTATAAAACAGTGTTCGGTACCGTTCGGTACCACTCGGTACCGCTGGGTACCGTTCGGTACTCTGTGTCTGTGCAGACGGTTCTCACCCCGACTGCACTCCGCACCTAATAATTTTTCGTGTGTGTGTGTGGGGGGGGGGGCCTCAAATAAAACTTTTATTTGGGCACATCTAAAATCATAGCTAACAAAAATAAACTTTTCAATGAAAAAAGAAAACACTATATATTTCCAGAATCTGCTCATCGATCGGAAACCCTGCTAATTCCGTAGACCGCGCTAAAACCGAGAACTTTTTTCTTGTTTCATTAAAAAATAAAGCTTTAATGGTACCGATCAGTCCACACGTTAGTGATTGCGGCACCTGTTTTTAAGTGAACTAATGTGCCAGAATAGTGCCTCTATATCAAAACATTTATTTGCCCAGTACAGTTTTTCTTCTTTTTTTTTTCAGGAAAAGAATAAGCGCACCAAACCTTACGAGTACAGCTTCACACAAAAGAAATTCACAATATAAAGATTAAACTTATTTTTTTTATTTTACTTGTAAAGTGCAGTAATACCTTACTTTAATGACGATTAGGCCAAACCGTCGAAAATTTTTACTTTGTAGCAGGAATGCTTTCATCGTGCTGCCAGCTGTACAGAGCTGATTTTACTGTGGCGATGGAGACGGTGCTCACTTTTCCGTCCAAAACCCTGACCCTAACCCTAACGAGACTGACCTACCACACCACCCATCCTGTCCTCAGACTTGCCTATAACCACCAACCCAAAAAGACCCTTCATGTCACTTTATTTCCTAGTTTCCCGGCACCCAACCTTCTTTTTTTCCGTTTTAAATAATAATTAGAATAAGCTTAATTATGGACCCATGTCACCGAACACGCAGCTACAGTAAAAGGGCGGCTACTTTTTAGATAAAGAAAGCGAGATTACCGGAAAAAATAGCATAGTTCGAGCCTTTGATAATAATTAAAAAAATGTGAGAGAAGAAGAGGATGGCAGTAGCACACCTAAAGATGGGTTCCCGTTGCTGCTCTTCCTTCTGCGCTCATTATGCCCCGCAAGCCTCCTCCGGCAGCTCCTCTTCGAATCATCGAACTCTGCTACAATGTGAAACCTAAATCCATTACAACATAAAAATTTCAATCAGTTTCCACTCAAAACCCTAAAGAAAATCGAAAGAAATCAGCAACTGAACTGATATAAACAGATGACCTGCTACATTGCTGGCAGAATCGCTGCTCCACGCCTAAGACAACAACGCAAGGGGCCTTGGAGTGCATCTCACAGACCTTATGCCTCTTATGATAGTCTTTCGCGTCAACAAGAGCTTTATTGCAACCTTCCACCTGACACCTCGGCACCAGAGCCCTCGCCGTCGGCGCAGACCGCTTCGTTGCCGTTGATTCTTCCAACTCCGCCGCGCCTCCTCTGCCGCAGTACTGCCGCTTCCCAAGCTTCAGGCACGTAAGGTACTGCCGTTGTTGCTGCTGCCTATAGCTATATAGCTCGCCTTCCGTAGCGTGCTGGTGGTCTCTGCTGGGAACCACTCCGCGTTCACCAAATGTTGACGCGATTGTGATGGCAGGGATGCCATACGATGACGACGACGGCGCCACAGCCGTCTCAGCCTCAACGACGATGCTTCCGGCGGCCGGATCGCAGAAACCCCACGCTGTAAATCCGCCAAAACCGTTGCCGACCCTCGCCTGTCCGCCCCCGCTCTCCATTACGAGGCGAAAGAGTCCACGTAGAAGAAAGAAGAGAGAGGGGGATGGAAGAGAGGGCGACAGAAGTAGAGTTCCGTAGCGGGTATTATAGGAGCAGTGGGAATGGCAGGGGGGAGTGGTGGAACAGTGTAGCAAGGACGGGGCACGTGGCGAGGGAGGAGTGGACACCGGTTGGAGGTGGGACCCGCGTTCGGGTCATTGTGACAAGATGAGAGAGGAGGAGAGAGAGCAGTAATCGCGGCGCTGCGCTCTGGGCACAGGATACCATATCGGGGGGCAGCTCACGGAATTTTAGTCCACCGTAGTGGGTCGTCACCCACTCCGATACTAAAGAGGGGCATTGGGATATTTCCACTGCAATGACGCTTCTGCCCTTTAGGACGTTTGGGTTTATAAGGCTTCTTCTGATCGGACGGTCGGGGTTCGCGCGGATTGGCGGACTTTGAGAGATATATAACCACCTCGTGAGGTATAGGTATAGGGTAGGAAAACGAAAAAACTTATTAAGATATCCAATAATTTATTCATAAAAGCTTATCAGTCACATAAAATAAAAAAGTGTTATTCATATATATTAAATTAAAGTTAAATTCATAAAATTTTATCAGTCTTTTTTTTTTTTTTGCAAAAAAAAAAACTTCATGATCATTACGGGCATGAGCTCTGCTAGGATTTTCTTACCCTAGCCTTCTTCCCGTCACCCCTTTCGCGTGCCTCCATTCGGGGAGAGGGGAGCCCCTTCCCTCTCTATGGCCTCTTCCTCCTCCTATCTCTCTGATTTTCCCCTGCTTCCTGGAGCTCTTCCCCCTTCTTCTCCTCCTTTTGCTGCTCCGGTTGGCCTAAACTTACTAAAGAGGATCATGTCACCGACAAGTTCTCTCTCTTGTTCACTTAGTGTCTCGATTGGAGTTTATCTCTTGTCGGTTATTCTATCAGCCCACAACATACTTACCTCAGCCACCTCAACGCAGTCAAAAGGGCTTTGAGCCCTAAAGGTTTGGTGGAACTCCTTTCCCTAAATGATTGCTTCTTCCTTTTCAAATTCTCTCCGCCGGAAGACTACCAGGTTGCATGGTCCAGGGGCCCTGGTTCTTCTTCGGCCGCCCCATCATTCTGCAGAAGTGGACTCTAAAATTCAAGCCCAAAAGATATGAGTTCTCCTCAATCCCTATATGGATTAAATTTATAAATTTGTGTTTAGATGTATGGAATCCTACTGGTATTTCTAAGATTGATAGTTTTGTTGGCCATCCTCTTGCGGTGGACACCCTTACCAGTCGGAAGACTAGACTCACGTTTACTAGAGTTTGTGTTTTGGTTTCTAGCAACTCCCCCCTACCCGATGAAAACCTTTTTCACTTGATGGAGATGATGTCTCCTTGAAAGTGTTGTATAATCGAAAGCCATCCCCCTGCGCTGGTTGTGGTTCAATTGTTCATCCCTCGTCCTTATGCCACATCAATCCCCAACCCAAGCCACCTGCGACTCATGCTCGGGGAAGAAGCTCAAGCTAAGCTCGATCATCCAGACCCCCGACTCTTAGATCTCCTCTCCCTACCTCTAACACCCCCAACCCTGCCACGTATACCAACCCACCATTGCTTTCTCCCTCTAATCCTCCCCTCCCCCCCGGCCAAACAGCAAAACACTTCTACCCCTCAAGCTCTACATGGGCTCTTAGCCATACCCCCTCCTCTGTCAAACCTGCTGCTGGAAATCAAGGAATCCATTCCTAACTTAAATTCCCCAACTGAAGACATGTCTTAATCTGATAACTCTCCCTTCATTCTCCATCACCCGACAGGCCCCTCTTCCCCCCACACATCTTCCTCCCATAACCTTTCCCCTTCGGCTTCTGTTACCTTACCTGCTGATCCTCCTATTTCCTCCCCTAACATGTTTCCTATCCTGTAGTCGGAAGATCCTCCTTATGAGCCACCTTCCTCTTCCGCTCTCTCCTCTAAAATCACACTAAGCCCCCTAAAATTCCCAAAGCCCCTAAAAGAAAGAGTGTTAAAAAATCACGCTAATCCAATTCCAAATTCAAATGAACCTAGGTTTTATTAGTTGCTGGAACATTAAGGGTTTTAACTCTCCTAATAAATTTCTAGCTTGTAAGAAATTAGTCTCCTCTTCCCATCTTGATATGATGTGTAATTTGGAAGCCAAAACTCTTCCTTCTGCAGTGGCTGACCCCAGGTTCAAAAATTCTCACTAAGTTTTTTTGAATGAATCTAGTTGCAACAATTTTGATTGCTCTTTCCCTGGTAGGATCTGGCTGAAATGCAACTCTCTGACTAATTCTTTCTCTCCTTCTCTTATCTCCTCCATGCTTATCCATGGTACTTTTCGGTCTGACTCTATGCTTTCGATTCTCCTATCTGTCATTTATGCTGCCAATTCTCTCCTCATGAGATAGCACCTATCTGGCATTAGTTACTTAATCTAGCCTCTTCTATCACCTCTCCCTGGGTTTTAAGTTATTTCAATTTGTAGATTTGTGGAAGAGAAATTAATAGTTTTATTTTCAGCTCTAGTTTGCTTGAGCTTTCTTACTCGGGTTTGTTTTACACATGGTTTAATCAGCGGGCTGATGATCCCATACATATCAAACTTGATAAAGTTTTTGCTAACTATTATTGTCTTAAGCATTATCCTGCTTCCTTTTATAAAGTGGAGCCCCCCCTCCTGCTCGGGTCACTCCCCCTTAGTGCTTCTCCCCGAAAAACCTATTGCTTCTCATGGCAAATTTTAATTTAAAAACTATATGGTCAACATAAACAGTTTCTGGGATGGCCTAATTTCAGGTTTTTCTTCTCAAAGCATAGGCAACCATATATATACTTTGTATTCCAAGTTACACACCTTGAAATGCTTTATTAAGCAGAAGAATTGGGCCAATTATTCTTTCCTCTCCAATATAATTGAGGTGCTTCAAGATCTACAAAACCAGTGATGAGCTTAAATCCAAGAAAACCCCCCCTTGATCACATCCTCAATGCATCTCTGGAGAATATTAATTCCTATCTTGATTCCCTTTAAAGTGCATGGAGTTCGTGGGTGATTCAACGTGCTAAAGCCAATTGGAATTCTATGAGTGAAAATAATTTGGGATTCCATTATCATTAGGTCCAGGAATAATTCTAGTCGCATTAATTTACTCTTCACTAAGGATGGGCATTCTACTTCTCCTGCTGATATTGCTAAGGCTGTTATCCTTTACTTCCAAAAGATTTATAACTCTCCTAAGCCTGATAACCCTAGGCTGCTCCCCATTCCTATCAGTTCTATCCTGCCCCCCCCCCCCCCCCCCCCCCTCCTATCTCACTGGTTCTCTTATTGTGCTAGTCACTAATCAAGAGATTAGAGCTGTTGAGTTTGTTGGCCCTCCCAGATTAGCCCGTGGGCCTGACGAGTTTATTAACCTAACTTTTGTATGAGGGCATAGTGACCTTTTCATGGACTCTAGACCCTAGCATTTCCTAGACCCTATTTTTCTTTTAGACTCTAGATCTTAGGATCCTTCTAGTCTCCAGACCCTAGGATCAATTTAGATCTTAGATTAGTCCATATCAAAACCCAAGGCTAAGGGCTTAGGTTCTGAAAGCCTTTCCTAGTATTTTTTTAAACACTTCAAAATCCAATTAACTGGCCCCTGATTCAGAGTCTATCAGTTGCATGTAAATAAAACATGTCTCTGAGGTCAGCTCTCCAAATTTGAGTTCAATCCAACACTCTTAACCCTATAAATTGAATCTACTTCTGAAGGCTGCAAAATTTTCAAATATTTACAGCCTATGCCACTAGACCCTTCACTTTGTGGAAATTGACCTTATGACCTTTCCAAAACCCTTTGATCATGTCCACATCATTCAACATGACATTTTGACCAGCAACCTATATTTTTCTAAACCCAATATGACACAGGTTTGACTAGGGGATCAAAATGATCAAAATACCCTTTAAGGAAATTTTTAATCTCTTCCCCAAATTTTAACATGCTCAACCCTATCAACCTTCAAAGCTTGTCTTAATGAATCCTAAACATCATTAGGAACACATTGGACCCAACCTACCGTTTGGTTTGAGCTGGTTGACTAAGTTAACCATGGTTGACTAAAATGCCCTTTAAGGATTTAAACACCCATTCCCAACCAAATGGCCTTACCAATGCATGGGACCATCTCCGTTGATCTCAAAACACTCATTTAAACTTATTTGACCCAAACATAACCCATGATTTGACCAGGTTGACCAAGCCAACCATAGTTGACCAACACATTGTCAATTTCAATGCTTAAACCTATTTCAAGTCAAATTCACCCTTCAAAATTATTCAATTGGACACCCTTGACATGTCTAAAAACTTTCCAAGTCAAACTTTCTTTGGGTTAACTTGGTCAACCCATTTGGAGGGGACAAAACCTCTCCAATCTCATGTATTTACTCAAAGTTTCAACCCCATGATTACAAACCCCTTAGGATTAATTCCTACATCTCTCTTGACCTTCTCTAATCCTATCCTAGTCATCATTGACTGTTCAATAGGTCAACAAGTCAACAAACTCATTTCAAGCCTATGAAAAGAGGTCAAATCATAGCCACATCACTAAGCCACCTTGGCAATCTATGGCTTAGTCTAAAACTTACTTAGACTTGATATGATGTGACCCATTTCCTACCCTAATAGAGCTTAAAACAGCCCCTTAAATAAGGCTTGGCTTGGGTTTAGCCAAATAAGGGAAAAGGTGTGGTCCCTCTTCCCATGGATGTAGAGAAATCACACTCAAATACCAGCCCTATTCCCTGGCTTTAGGTAGCATAGGGGACACTTGGCGCTCATCCAAAATGACCCTAAATTAAATCTCAATCTAATCCAAAAGCTAAGTGTGAAGTGGGGGAAAACTTGACCTAAGGGGTTGATTCTTCATTATTCACTCTCCTCTAGCCTCCAACATTTCAAAACCCTTCCCCAACTTCTTCAACCATTTCTAAGGCCTTCCCAAGTTTCTCCCAAATATTTCCAATACTCAAATCAC